TTCGGGGGTGGGGGGGAGAAGCGGCAAGAGGTGCAACAGACCCACCCAGGCTGCCTGTCCCCAGCCTTAGGGAAGGCTTCGTGCCCCCACACACACACCATCATCACAGCCTCCCTTTTCTGCAGCTCCGCCGCCATCCTCACCCTGGCATCAGCCTATCCTTGCCTTTGGGGCTCCTGCCACCGACGGTCCTTCATCTGAACTATGAGGTGGCCAGCGGCTACCTCCCCTGATATGACCCCTTCTATAGCCCTGGCTCTTGAGTAGGGTCAGCTACGGACCCCAAAGCAAGTCCTGGAACCAATCCTGACCCGACCTTCCTTTCTCTCCTGGAACCCCGGCTGTCGCTCCGCTCTGGAACTTCCCCAGGCTCCGACCTGCGCCCACCTTCAGGGTGCAATTTACACTACAGCCGCCCGCTTCTGACCCGGGTCCAGTTTGGCCCTGCTCTTTGCTCTGGCCAGGGATGGGCAAAGACTGTGGCAAGGGGACGTGTGTGCCAGTCCTTGTGGCCTGCCGGAGCTGCGCTCTGAGACCAGCCTCCCTCTTGGGTCAGAAAGCATGGGGGGGGGCTCTGCCTTGAAGCGGCCCCTTCTCCCATTCGGGCACCTCCTGCTCCTCCACCCCCACCAGGACGGACCCTCCACCCGCCAGAGCCACACTGAGCCCGTGAGGCCAAGAGAGGCCAAGCTGCCTGCCGCTCAGTTGTGAGGGTCCTCCTCCTCCCCGTGGGGGGGGGTCTTTGCCCCACAAACCCCTTCTCCACCCCACCTTGCCTCGGGCTGCTGGCAGAGGCTCTTTCCCGCCGGGGGCGATGCTGTCCTGCAAGACCCACCCAAGTACTCCTTGTGTGGGAGAGAGGGGGAAAGTGGAGGAGCAGAGCTCTCGCTCAGAAACGGGGCCTGGGGGGGGATGCCCTCCCACACGCCCCTCCCAAACTCTGTATCCCATAATGCAAAAGGAAAAGAAGACAGACAGCGAAAAAGGCAAAACCACAGGAAGCCGCAGAGGATGGGAGGGGGGGGTCAGCCGGAGAGTGACGAGATGAGTGGACGCTCAAGTGGAGGGGTTGGCGAGGAGGAGAAGCAGGAGGAGGAGGAGGAGGAGGAGGAGGAGGAAGACGAGGAAGACCTTCAGCAGGACACCTCCATGGTGTGGTTGACCTGCCCCATGGCCTCGCTGCTTTCTGAATGGGTGCAGGCCCTGGGGCGGCTGCCATCCACCGAGCCGGCGCTGGTGAGGGAGGCTGTGCGGGAACGAGCCAGGCGCGTCATACTGGCCGAGGGCACTGCGGAGAAGGAGGAGGAGGAAGAGGAGGAGGAGAGACCGACAGAGCGTCAACCTTTCGTCCAGATGGAAAGGGACGAGCAAGGGGAAGGCAGAGCAAGGGCCACCAAGACAAGCTGCCCCGTGGGCTTCAGAAGCCCCCCCCCGCGCCAGGGAGCAGCATCCAGCCCCGTCTCGGAGAGTGCCAGGAAGCCAGCCTCTGCACACGCGTGCACTCTCAGGCGTTACCCCTGCAGGTGTGCGGTTTCAGGCCAGAAGCGAGGGGAGAAGTCATTCCACCCGCCGGGTTACCCACCCCTGAGCAGCCACGGAAGCAGCAGCCACGGCAATACAGTCCCACCCACGGAGTCCGAGAGTTCTCAAGGCAGCCCAGCCCGGAGGTCAAGAAAGCTCCATCGGGCCAGGGGGGCAGGGGGTGGGCAGTATCTGGACACAACCTGGCCCACGTGAGCTGTGGGGGGAAAATGTGGCGCTTCCTCTTCTTATGCCCAAAGAACTCAACAGGCAGACACGGACGTGGCAGTTTTAAAGGCCTTTTAATTACTCAATGAATTAATCAATGGTCTTTAATTTATTGAGATCGCAGCATGCAATGGGGAGGCCCAACAGAGGACAGTGCCCTCCGTCATGGTCAGAAAAAAAGGGGCCAGATTGCAGATTGCCTGCCAAAGGGGACCCTGACTCTTTATCCAGGGGGAGAGGAGAGTTCAAAGCAGCCTTGGACTTCGCAAGGGAAGTTCTTCCTTCCTGCCCAAAGGTATGGAAATTTGTACTGAGGGATGAAACTCCATTAAAGAAGCAATCCATTAACTCCGGAAGATACTCAAAAGGAATTCTAGAGATCCTTGAAAGGATTAAACAGCCATGACAGGCGATGATGGCATCCGTAAGATCAAACAGGGTTCTGTCTAAAGGACGCCTGAGAGATTTGAGGAAAGAAGAAACAGAAGGAAGCATCCTAATGTAAGGGCAAACTTCGTCTCTCTGAAATGGGTCGGCCTACACTTGAGGAGACCCTCCTTGTTCAGGTAACAGCATGAGTTGGGAATAAGAGAGGTCGGTTAGCGAGAACTTCCTTATTTTCCTAAGCGTACGCCTTCTTTGAGAGAGGATCCGAGATTGGTTTTATAATTTCCTCTCACCTTGTTTTATTTTACCAAAGATGTTTTGAGTCACTTTCGCCTTTTTACTTTTGGGGACCATTTTATCCTTTTTTGCTTAACCCTTTTCTTTTTAATAAAATACATAATATCCCATCCAGGTATTAGTGGGATTATTATGAGTGCAGAGGAAATCTGCGTACTAACTTCTAGAGTCTTGACCTCACGAGGCGACCAGGGTTTTGAGGCATGAAGAACGGAGGCAGCTACGTTCCGTGTGCGTGTGGAGCGTGGTCGGCGTAACACTGCCTAAAAGGCACAACCCCAGAAAGGAGTTTACGTGACGCCAGGGAGGGAAGCGAAACGGTCCCGTTTGAGCTTGACCGGTTCTCTTGCCTCGTCCACCAACTTGGACGGTGGAAAAGGGCAGAGGAATATAAAGACTGTCCGAGGAGCGCATCAAGGCGGTTTGGCGGAACAGCCGGTCCATGACCCTGAATTCTTTTTAGGTAAAAGATACTCATTTCCTGGCAAGAACCCTTCCCCTTTCGGGGGGGGGGCTCACATCTCCCTCAGGCAAGGAAGGAAAGGGGTAGAAAGGGAGAAGGCAGGAAGGCCTGCCCAGAAGTATTAAAGAAAACAAAATTAGGGGATGAAAAGTGGCCACCCTAACAGGAGCAGGCTTCTGGCCCGTTGGCAAGGCAGGCTGAGAATTGGTCCCTGGGCACCGTCTTCTGAGCATACACACACACCCCCGGTGCCACCCCCCCTTCACCTCTCTGCTGCCCAGCTCCACAACCTGCATCAGGAAGCCCCTGCAGCCTTGGTTTCCCCACACACAGAGAATTACCCTTGGGGGAGCCTGGCTGAGTGGAGTCCCCCCCCCCAAAGGAGACCCAGGGTGGCCCAGCAAGGGCTCTGCGTCTGCCCACCAGCCCCTTTCACTGGGAGGCGGATCTGGCACAAGCGAGGCAGAAGCTGAGGCAGAAGCCAAGCACTGTCCGGCAGCAGCAGCAGCAATGTGCGCGGCACAAGGGTGGGAGGGGGGCACGTGCAACCCGTAGGGGTGAGAAGAAGCAGACACACGCGGGTGGGGTGGGGGGCAGCAGAGGAAGGGGTACCTGATCCTCCGCTCAGCCTTCGATCCTTCAGGTAGGCAACTGAGAGAGAGAGGGAGGGTTGAATCGGAGGCAGAAGGGCAAGGACAGAGTCGGTGTGGTGGGGGTCCCAGAGGGGGCAGGAGACATCTTTGGGGGCATGAAGTCCTCAGGGGTTGACCGACCAACATCAGAACAGGAGAGGAAGGCAAGGACTGACACCCAGGAGCATCCCCACAAAAGAGAGAGAGAGAGAGAGAGTGCACACAGCCTAATTCTTCTCATGCGTCCTTCTCTTCACAAGGTACAAAGCGCCCTGCTCAGACTGCGTGCGCTCTCCCACACACTGGCTGCCTTCTGGGAAGGAAGCCACGTTTTCGCAACATGGTCCGGATGATAGAAACCTAATAGAGACCTGAACCTGGATCCAAACCTACTTCGGCAGCCTTGGGGCAGTGTTCTGGCTGCCTTCTGGGAAGGAAGCCACGTTTCTATCCGGATGATAGAAACTTAACTCTCTCTCTCTCTCTCTCTCTGGAGTGGCCAGCCTTGCTGGGCTGTTGTGCAGGTTGCCAGAAGCCCCAAAAGACCCACCCGGGACACAGGAGGGACACGAAAGAAGCCCCCCCACTGAGACACTGTCCCAGACAACGGCTTCAGGAGTGATTTCCCCAAAGCACAGGTAAGAGAAAGGTGGGTATGGCTAGGAACCAAGCAAGTGGGGGTGGAAGGGTGGAGAGATCGAATCCTCCCAGCCGGCACCCTCCCCTCCCCCTCCAATGACCGGGGCTACTACCAACTGTATGGTGGACAGTGGGTGGCCTACACACGCCTAGCTCCCCATTAAAAAACAAAAACAAAAAACCACACACCCTCCTTCGTTCGGCAAGGGCAGGACCTGGGGGACCTCAGTGGAACCTCACCCCACAAACACCGCCCCCTTAAACAGCAAGGGCCTATTTCAATTCTGCAGCTCATCCCACACAACACCACTCCGACCCCCCCAGATTGCCTCCCCTCCCCTCTCGGTCCCTGGAGTTCGCGAAATACTTACTGTAGCCCATGCCTTGCAGGAAGTACTTGAATGCTTCTGTCAGTTTTCCAGGCTGCTCAAGAAAGCAGAGGGGACGGGCGCGTTCCGACGACGGCACAGGGACAGCCCTCTCGGCTCTCTCTCTGTGTATGTGTGTGTATGTGTGTGCAGGAAGAGTTTTGACATCTCATTTTTAAAATTCTAATAGCACGGTGCTCTAAACATGAATCTATAGTCTGCACAACTAAATCACGTCGTTATTTATTTCCGGCGCCTGGTCTGAGAGATTCCCAACCGAACCGGGAGGGCACACGGACGACAAGCAAAGGAGGCAGGCAGACTCACCTGTGTGACTTGGGGGAGCCCTCCAGAGTCAGCCATCTGTGTAGGAAAGAGAGGAGAGTCAAGGCGGGCCCTCCGTCTGCCCTGGCAGGGGTCTCTTCAAGACCACCCACCACCCCCACCACCCCCTGCAGCTGCTGCCCTGCCCTGGCCTATGGGGTGACCCCTGGCTGCAGTGCCATCAGGGGGGGTGGCCATCCGGCTCAGCTCCCCCTGCCCTCTTTGACCTCCTCCTGCCAGACCCTCTTGAGGGGGCCAAGCCACCTCCCGGGAGGCAAAAGACCGGGGGCGTCTCCAGCAGTTCCGCTCAACGCAGGACCTGCTTCACGAGGGTGCAGAGGAAAGGCAGAGAGCCACCTTCGGGAGCGCCGCCTCCCCCTCTCAGAGCCTGACTGGAGGGAGGGCTGGTTTGAAAGAGACAACTTTGCAAGGGTAGCTCCTGTCTCTTCACTCCTGTTGAACTCCCCCCCCCTCACACACACACACACCCCTTTACAGGAGACCGACACTGCCAGCATCGGGGTGCGTGGCCCCTGAGTAACCACTGGGAGGGAGGGGGGTTGCCCGTCTGGCAGTCCCGCAGGCCCCTTTATTCCATCTGGCACCCCCTCAGAAGAGGGGATGAAGCCAAGGGGACCCTGCGCTCAGGAAGGCGCCACTCTTGTAGGGAGGTTCCCAAGGCAGGAAACCCCCCTCCTTTTTTGCCCCTGGGGGGGCTCCAGAGGTGGAGGCAGTGAAGGAAGAGCCCAGCGAGAGAAGGCCGGAGGAAGCTTCGGGCAGCCAGAGAGCGGAGGAAGAGGGTCTCCTAGCAGAAGCTTCTCTGCATCATAGTTTATGCCTTCAGAGGTAGCAAGAGAAGTGGCCCCATCATCCCCCAAAGCACAGCCCCGATGGAACGGGCGAGGGTCCAGACAACACCAGACTCTTCACCGTTTTCAGCTCAAGAGAGCGATGGGGCTCCTGCCTTGGTCAACCCGAGGGTGGTGGTGGTGGCGGCAGGGGAAAGCTGGATGCCACCAGGAGGGGTGGGGGTTTGGAAACAGATTGAGGGTCAGAGTGGCCGGTGGTTTCCCTCCCTCTTACCTTCAGGAAAGTGGTGGTGGTCGGATCCAACTTGGAGTTGCATTCCACCTGCAAAGAGCAACGGCTAAGTTTCTGTGCAACCCCAAGTAAAGGAACGCATGCCGTGACGTGACCAAGCCGCTCGCTCATCACAACCGTGAGGCCTTGGAAACGGCAGAACAGCCGGGAAGTCCACCTGCAAAGAGCAACGGCTAAGTTTCCGTGCATCCCCAAGTAAAGGGACACGTGCCGTGACGTGACCAAGCCGGGAAGAGGTCTTTCAGCCCAGGCAGTGGGTGGCTGCCTCCTCCTCTCAGAGCCAGGTGGAGAACCCCTTGCGCTCTGGTTTTTAATCCTGGCCGGGATCCTGTTGGACAACTGAGCGGTCCCTGTAACCATACATTATGGGCCTCCCCCACCCCACCCCGTGTGTCTCAGGCTGTAACACCAGCTGCAGAAGAGGGCCGGGGTACCCTGTCTGGCACACGGAGATCCAGACAAGATACAGGAGCCCTTGCGACCATTTAATACAAGACGGAATGGGGGGGGGGAAGTGTACAGGAGGAGCAGAGCATCTGTGACCTCTTAAGCCCCGCAGCCATCCTTTTTTAATTGAGGGGGATTGAAAGATAAGGGGGGGGGTGTCCACCACCCTCCACTGCAGTCCCACGAGGGCAGCCTAGCCCAAGCTTTACGGAAAGAGGAAGCTTTTTGGTCTAAGTGAGGTGAGTCCGGGCCTCTTCCTTCTGTGTGTGTGTGTGTGTGTGTCGCCCCCACAGAGCCCCCGAGCCTGCGAGCACTTCCGAAGGCCTTACTCACCACTCCATCCTCGGCAGGTGCATTGTCGCCCACCACCAGCATCACGGGGCAGCTGCAAACCCCAAGGGGGGGAAAGGGGATTAGTTTGGAGATCCTCTCTGTCCCACACGTGCGCCCACACACACCCCTCAGTCCCCCCAAACTGCTGGGGAGGCATTGGGGACTCACCGCAGGGTTTTGGCGTTGGGGACGCTGCCAGGCCGATTGATGTCCAGGTCTCTGCGGCTGAGAAAAGCAGGAAAGGTTTCAGAGATTCCCTGAGCGAGACGTGCGCGCGCAGAGTGAAGGCAGCGTTTGGTCTCTCTTGGCAGACTGGCACTTGCCCACTGCCGCTCTGGCCAAAGCTGCTCTGAGAGGCCAGTAAGGAAAACACGGCCCAAGCCAAGGGGGCAAGAAGTGTTCTTCTCTTCTCCCACACAGCCGAGGGGGGGAAGCACACAAGAAACTCGAGAGGTAGCAGCCTAGCCAAGGGCAGGCCAGAGTACCTAAAAGAATGTTCCTGGAATTGCTGGAGGGGAGAGAAGCAACGGGAGGTGGGGAATGGGCTGGATCACGAGTGGCTACAGCTCGCTCGCTCGCTCGCTTGCTCTCAAAAGGGGGTGGGGGCTTCTCCCACACAGCCGAGGGGGGGAAGCACACAAGAAACTCGAGAGGTAGCAGCCTAGCCAAGGGCAGGCCAGAGTACCTAAAAGAATGTTCCTGGAATTGCTGGAGGGGAGAGAAGCAACGGGAGGTGGGGAATGGGCTGGATCACGAGTGGCTACAGCTCGCTCGCTCGCTCGCTTGCTCTCAAAAGGGGGTGGGGGTGGCTGCCTGCCTCGTTCCATGTTTCTGTGGCATAAACCAGCCCAATCACTTGCCACAAGAAAGATAAGGGGGGGGGTGTCCACCACCCTCCACTGCAGTCCCACGAGGGCAGCCTAGCCCAAGCTTTACGGAAAGAGGAAGCTTTTTGGTCTAAGTGAGGTGAGTCCGGGCCTCTTCCTTCTGTGTGTGTGTGTGTGTGTGTCGCCCCCACAGAGCCCCCGAGCCTGCGAGCACTTCCGAAGGCCTTACTCACCACTCCATCCTCGGCAGGTGCGTTGTCGCCCACCACCAGCATCACGGGGCAGCTGCAAACCCCAAGGGGGGAGAAGGGATTAGTTTGGAGATCCTCTCTGTCCCACACGTGCGCCCACACACACCCCTCGGTCCCCCAAACTGCTGGGGAGGCATTGGGGACTCACCGCAGGGTTTTGGCGTTGGGGACGCTGCCAGGTCGATTGATGTCCAGGTCTCTGCGGCTGAGAAAAGCAGGAAAGGTTTCAGAGATTCCCTGAGCGAGACGTGCGCGCGCAGAGTGAAGGCAGCGTTTGGTCTCTCTTGGCAGACTGGCATTTGCCCACCGCCGCTCTGGCCAAAGCCGCTCTGAGAGGCCAGGAAGGAAAACACGGCCCGAGCCAAGGGGGCAAGAAGGTCGTGTGTGTGTGTGTGTGTGGCAGGAAAAGCTCCTTCCTGTACATACTGCAGAGCGTCCAACCTAGAGGTCCCTCCAGTGTCAGGATACTGGAGCATCAATAAGGGAGGGTGAGTGAGGGGAATCCTTCTCAAACAGAAGCAAAATAAATTTTATATAAGGAGGGGAAAAGGGGGAGGGGAATGCTTCACCCAACTGGCTGTTCTCAAACAAGAAAGCTGAAGCAGTGACAGGTGAACAGAAGAGGGACTGGGACACACACACACACCCATCGCTCCCGAGCGATCCTACCCCAAGTGCATTGAGAGAAGAGGCAAGCAAAAACTATGGAGTGGTGTTCATGCTCAGCCCCATGTGCCTTTCTCTTGGGCAGGAGGTGGGAGGAAATGATGCTGGAGCAGGAAGTTGAGTAGCCAAAAAAAAGAAGAGGGGGGAGGTAGCCACATGTTGGGAGGAAAAGGGTTCATTGAGAC